CCCCATCGGCCCCAAGTTCCCTAGGATAAGCTTCAGGGGCCCTTCCTCTTTTACCGTTTTCTAACTTCCCCCCAACTTGGAATGACTTTATTTACTGCCTACTGTTTCAAGTCAATCTTTTTTTTAAAATATATTTTATTGATTTTTTACAGAGAGGACGGGAGAGGGATAGAGAGTCAGAAACATCGATGAGAGGGAAACATCGATCAGCTGCCTCCTGCACACTGCATACTGGGGATGTGCCCGCAACCAAGGTACATGCCCCTGATACATGCCCCTGACCGGAATCCAACCTGGGACCCTTGAGTCCACAGGCCGACACTCTGTCCGCTGAGCCAAACCAGTTAGGGCATTTCAAGTCGATCTTGAGGCTGGTTTTCAAGTCCTCTCAGAATCTGGCCCTATTCTTCCGAGTAGTAGTAGTACATCTCTGCTACAGTTAATACTCATCACTCACTCCACTTTCCATCTTAAAATAACTACCCAAGTTTCAAGACTCCACTCAAGTCCCTAGAGGAATTTTCCCCCTGAATTCTTATTATGTCTGCAAATACGGAACTTCTTCCTGCCTTTGGTTCATTAGGTCATGGCACCTCTGAAAAGGGCGTTCAGGACCGTTTGGCTTTCTGGTTTCCTCCCTCTCTCCTAAGCCCTATTATAACCCTGGCTGGGTAGCTCTGTTGGTTAGAGCATTGTCCCAATACACAAAAGGTTGCAGGTTAAATGCCCAGTCAGGGCACATACAAGAATAAACCCAATGGCTCTGACTGGTGTGGCTCAGTGGATAGTGTCAGCCTGCCCACCAAAGGGTCGTAGGTTCGATTCCCGATCAAGGGCACGTACCTGGGTTGCAGGTTCTATTCTTGGCCCTGGTTGAAGTGCCAATGGGGAGCAACCATTCAATGTGTCTCTCTCACATCAATGTTTTTATCCCCCTCCTTTCCACTCTCTCTCTTAAAAAAAAAAAAAATCAACCAATGAATGCATAAATAAGTGGAACAACAGATTGATGTTTCTCTCCCTTCTCTCTAAAATAAAAAAAAAACTTACAATAAAAATAAATCCTATTATAAACTCACCTCTTTCAGGAGGACTTCCTTAAACTTATTCGGCTCCAGCTACCCATTTCTTCTAGCATCTCCCTTACCACTGTAGTTTTACCTGACTATATCAGTTTGGGGTTACAGATCACTGTTACAAGTAGAGGGATAGTCTTATCTCCTTCAAGAGGCTGAGCGTATCCCCAAGGGTAAAAACCAATCTACTTAGTACTTTGTGCAAAGCCCACAAGCGCTGGGCTTTGCACACAAAAGACATTCAAGGCTGCTGATTAATTTTCTCTCACTCTTTATTTAATACAATGAATACCTCGCCACTCCCATCTATTAGTCCTCAGATAAGCTTTAACAGCCTATCTATTTCTCTCTAACCTACCTCTGCTTCCGAACAAAACCCAGGTGCTAAACGAGTTTTCCTACGCTATAACAGGTCTCTTCTCTGGTCACAATGCTAGAATATATCTGATGATGGTGAAAGCAAATGGATTAGAAACTGCAGGTAAGTAAGGTAAAGCTTAGATTGGGAGGAGAAGGTGCTTTAACAGAATTAGATACTTGTCCATGCTTTCATCAGTACTTTTATCACCCTTTCTGCTCATCCTTCCCATACCCTGATGTTATGTGACTATTATAAATTACCTCCCTGCAGCCTCTACTCTGCTGCTTGCTAGCCAAGGGAAGGGGCAAGAAGCATTAGCTGAAACGTTCCCAAAGGAGCAGAAAGAACATTCCACCACTGCCTCCAAAAATAGAACCCTGTTTCAAAAGGACTTCCTCCAACACACTCCATTGGCTCTCATCAGGCCTTGAGATGCCTAAATAGTGGCCTAAAATAGGTTCCAAAATGTGTTAGGCAGACATGATAACTAGCCCTGTTAGTTCAGTGGTTAGAGCACTGGCCCTCGCACCGAAGGGTGATGGGTTTGATTTCCGGTCAAGGGCATATATCTGGGTTGCAGGTTCAATCCCTGGCCCTGGTCAGGGTGAGTGTGGGAGGCAACCAATTGATGTGTCTCTCTTAAATCAATGTGTGTGTGTCTCTCTCCTCCTCCCTAAAAAATAAAATATACTGGGTGAGGATTGACCAAAATATATATATATATATTTTTTTTTTCCTAAACAACAAAAAACATGATAACCAATATTCTACAGAAACCCATATAATGTGAAATGTCTCTAAGTAAAAAAGGCAGAAAAAGAATGCATTAATCCAGAATATGTTTCTGTGTGAGTGTGGGAGCTTTAGGAGGGGTAAGTAGGTAGACTCGGATGTCTTTAAAGTTAAAAGCAAATGCTGAGTTGCTCTTTTTCGTCTTGGGTTCAAGCTCCAAAATAAACCCCAAGCAGAGAAGCTGCTTAGGAGTGTGATGCAGGGACCGGGACGGGGGTGGGAACATGTTAGAAAGGTGAGGTCATCATCCTATGATAGGCAGCTCTGATCATCGCCACAATAATCTGCAGAGACATGTGCACAGAGAGTTGCAAAAATGGTTGTACCTATTAACCAATCAACCAGGGTTATAGAGATCCTAAGAAGCAAACCTTAGGAGACAAAGTGTTACTTCTGTCCACAGGGATATTTTACTAATATTACTAGTTATTTGCCTGCATAACGGGCTTCTTTTATATCCCCGCCCTTACCAGTTTTCTCCAGTGAGAGATTAGGATAATGCTGGGCAAATATAATAGGCTCTTTAAAAACAAAATAGAATCGTAAGGGGGGAGGAATTAATAGATTTTTAAAACTAGAAAACACCTTAGAAATTATCTAGTGACTTGCAAAGCCTCCCAGCCAGTTTGGATTAGAGCCCAGGTCTCATAATCCCCAATCTGGGACTTCTTTGATGTGTTGTACATAGGTAGTTGCCTTTAGCTTTATGTAATCCTACACCAATATTCTCAAAACTTGCAAGAATTCTTAGTTCCTGGAGAGCAGATACTCAGTGGGTTAGGTACTGATTGTTCTGTGGTTCCGATCTGAATGGTGAACATGCAAAAGGCAATGGAGAGCAAGCTAGAATCCGAGAAAGGGAGAAGGCTCTGACAAACGGACTCCCTTCCTTACAGCCAGCATATGTCTCAAAGCTCTCTAATCCCTGAGTATCTGGCAGGGCTTCTCTTGACAATTAAAAAAGCGGAGGGAAATTGCACGAAATATTGACTTAAAAGGCCTAAAATCTCTAGGTATGGCTCAGAGACATCTACAGAGAGGACCAAATACATTCTAGAGAGATACTCATACCAGTATTGACAGCATTTAAAATCAAGTCAAGCGCATTACCTACACAGAAAATGGAAGCTAAAATAGCCTTTACATCGACAATGAAATTTTAAAATTTAATAGAGTGTGAATTTAATTCCCAACTACCCAAATTTTGCAAGAGGTCTCTTTTCAGCTAGCTTTCTCTTCCCCTCTCCATTTGCTTGATTAGCAAATATATATATAAAAAGAGACACTTTCACGGAACCACACAGACCCGCCCAAATACCCTTTGTCCAGCCCCCCAGTGGGAATCCAAGGTCTACCAACCAGGCCTTGCTGTGTCATGCTGCCACTGTGGGGTGGAAGGACAAGGCATGGTGATGGTGGGAATGGAAGCGCTCCGGCATCTCACTCCATGCGCCTCATTCTGGGCTTGGATCTTTCTCATGGCCATGTCCTTCCCTCACCTATTCCACTGAGCTGCAAATAAGCATTCCTTTTCCAGAATCTGTCCCTAAACCTACTAGCTTTTGTGTGCTGTACTAATTCAATATGGGATCCGGTAGTTCTCCAACATAGAGGCCCCCCACCTTCCTACCTCAAGCTGCTGCTTTCTTCGGAGCAAATGTTTGAGATGTGGGGGAAATTATTAAAGGAAATGTGAGGATTACTCTCAATATTATCTCATATCTCTTCCCCCAAACTGCCTCTTATGGAGACAAGTTTGGGGTGAAGGAAGACACATCAATAAAACACTACAGAAAAAAAGAAAAGAAAAAGAAACAGAGGGAAATAGAGGCTAGAGCAATACAATAGGACTAGAGATTCATAAGAAGAAGAAAAAAACACCACACAAATTATAGCTTGAAAGATAGAGATAACTAGACTGAAGATAAAATACACAGGACAATAAATTATAGGCGAATAGGTACTTGACATGAGATAAATGCTAAGAAATAACTACAGGTAAATTGTTAAAAATTAATGTCTGTGTTCAGGATTATAAGGCATGGATGGAGATGTGAGCAAGAGATGGAAAAACGGTGAACAAATTAACTACCGTTGTTCATAGCGGCGCCTTCTCTCCTCTAGAACTGTCCCCCCAACCTCATCCTTATTTGGGGGTCCCTAACCTAACCAGAAGCAGCTGCTCTTCTATCTCTGCAGCCCCCTTCCCCCTCCCCCCTC